TAAAAATAAAAATTTAATGTCTACGATAAAGATTGTTTCTTTAAAAAAAAAAAAATCGGATCATTTTATGAGGAATGAGAGTTTTTTTTTTCATAATATTACTTCATATATTTTAGATTTTTCGAATTGTTATGTGAGACTTGAAAAGTGGAGTAATTTAACTGCTGTGCCGCGACCACTCCTACAACTATGGCGGTTGTCGGCCTCGATACTCGAAGTTTCAGGATATAAGTTACCCACTGGTTTGTATAAATAATAACAATAATTTATAGCACCATGTGCACCAAATTATAATAGAGTATAAATGGAAATATTGTTATATATAAATAATAATAATAATGGGCGCCTGAGCGCCAGGGCCGGCGCAAGAAGTATTGGTGCCCTGGGTAAAACCATGTTTCGGCGCCCTTACAACCCTCCCTCTCCCGTCTAGTTTGAATAGTTGTAAAATTAAGTCTTTTAGTAAGTTAAATAAAATTAGTATGTATTTTGTAACATAACTTTAAACTTTATTACCTGATCATAAAATATTGTAATAAGGTTATACATATTATTTATTAAATTATAAAATTGCAGCATTTCGTAAAAAAAAAAATCATATATTAATGATATAAAAAATATAATATTATTATAAATAATCAATAGACCACACGAATATTGTGTGGTAGCAATCATCACAATACACTCTATAATATTATAGTATGTAACAACGGTCGTCGCTGCCGAAAGTATATTATGAGCTGCTAAAAAATATTAAATCAAATATATTATTTTACGCCACCACTGTCCATAATATAAATATAATATAATACTGTGTTTCACTAATTACTTATTAACTAAGACAATCAGAGAACGGAATTGATTGTAAATAAGAAATCACAATATTATGTACAAATTTACTAAACAAAGTATATAAATATTGATTACCTGTTGGCAGTTACTTGTTAGTTTTTACATTTGATATTACATAGCAGACCGTAAGGCGTACATAGCGAGAGCTTATCAAAAACAATAAATAATTGAGTGAGTGTACTAGTGTGTTTCAGACAAATGTGTCTTTTTGATTTACTCTACACTGTGGTATTTTCGCCGTAAGGTCTAAATGGATGTTATCGCCACGATTTTTCTAACAAATCTAGACGTAATCGTCTAGTTTTATGAATTTATTTATAAATGGTAAATATTATAGGTAAATGAAAATTATTATCACGGCCATCTACCCGCTGTATCGATGCACTGATATATTCCTATATTATACAAATATGAGAAAATTGCAGATGCATCTTCAATTAAAACGACATTAGATAATGAATAATTAAAAATTGCATAGATTGTTAATGCGCATTAAAAGATAAATTGAAAAAAAAACAATTTTCAGTTTGGTGCTCCTTCCGTGTTGGTGCCCTGGGCAGTCGCCGGCCCTGCCTAAGCCCCGAAATAAACACAATAGTATAAAAGGATTAATAAAAGAAAAACAAATGCTCCACCCGTATTATAGACGCTTACAATATAAAAAATATAAATTAACAAGTTACCAAAGACCACGACTGCAATGGTAACACGACGGTCGACGATTGCAGGAAAACGAGGCTGAGCCGCTGCTCCGGTCCTCCACGCTGGTATAAGGCGACAGTGGCTTGAAACGAACACGCCTAGTGACGATCACGTCTAGGGCGAAGGTAACACACGCAACAACAGCGGCCGGTTTACAATATCGGCGGATGACGGCGATGTGTATAATAATTTTCCGTCGGACAACAGGATTATAGGCGTTCGAGTATGCGTGAACGAGGTAGCACAGTTTTCCTTCGTGACACACTATTATTGATGCATTTAAAACGCACTGGTAACGGACCGCAAGCACACGGAAACACGTGGTTTTCACGATGTACGTATGTCGATGTCAATGATACGACAAATCGCTCGAACAGGACGCTGAAAGAAACGTCAAGCTCACTACAAGCGTAGCGATCACGCTGACGAATGCGCTTGACACAAAAACGTGTGTATACATCGCAACCTCGCGACTAAGAAAAACGTAAAATATCAAAACGTACGCGATGACGGCGGACGTGCGAATAAAGGTCCGCAAAGTCCGAACGTCGGAGAGTAAAAGCAACGAACAAAACGAAACGGTTAACCGTGTCGGCGTTAACGACTTCGCGAACTTTTTACAGTTACACCAATTTAAGGGAACCGCGGTTGGCTAACTCGATGGCGAGAAACTTATCCGCATTTGAATATTGAAAGTTTATTGATTGATATCTTGATAAAAGCAATTAATAGGTAACTGCAGGTATAAAATAAAAGGAATATCCGATTATTAGTAGGATATGTTTTGTGGTGTTTTATTACTATGGATCTTAGGTTTATTTTTTACAATAATGCGTGTGGGGCGAATGGTCGTTGAAGGTTGTGTATATGTATATTTGAAATGTGCATGTTTCCTACACTACTCCAACGAAAGATGTGTAATTTTTTCATACAATTATTTATCATAAATTGTATAATATAAATATAATCTTTAGTTACAACTTACAGAGAACATCATGATAACATTCTATGCGATTTCGGATTTTCCAGCATGACATTAAGCTATAATATACATTCTTCATTCTATATAAAACATAATATAATAGATAAATAGATATTATATATAGTTTGAAATTACTTTCACATTTCTTTATGACATGGAAAAAATAGCGCTATTAATGTATACATTGCCCATTTGCCCTAGCTGTATCCGGAACCAAATTTAATTTGCTACCTGTAGAAACCATCCTTAAAATTGAAAATCGAAGGAATTGCATCATTTCAAAATATGATAACAGACACAAAAATAAATAAATTAATTAAAAAATTTAAAAAAACCATATATTATAATATATTCAGAATCTTAAAAGTTAAAAATAAGATCGTTAAAATACAGAAAAATAAATATTGTCTTCTGTATCAAGTAAAAATTTGATTTATTTACTATGACTGCTGTTTTACAAACAATATGGGCGTGAGATATTCTTTGAAGTCACATTCAGGCACACTATCAAATAGTGTAATTATGATTATGTTTGAGTAATTCATAATCTTCAAGTATTGTTACACTTCAAGTTTTCATAGTTAAAGTATGTTAAGAATTGTAATTTAATCATACAAATGTAGAAATTTTTTTAACTAACATTAATAATAACACAATTAATTGAATTACTTTGATTTGTAATTTATATTTATAATTTATTACTAAGTTTGTTCCATACATTTATAAAATATTAAATTGTATCATAAGTTATGCATATGAAAGCGTGATTGATTTTTTTTATTTTAAAGGGAATTTAAAATATTTAAAAACTTGAGAAAATTAAAATATCAAATGCGTTATTATATATCAAGAATATATTGGAATCTTTGGTAGTGATTATATGTATACACTTACATAAACAATTTGTAAACCAAATCTTTAAAATCTAATTGGTGGCTAATATTGTTTTCTATAAAAATATCCTTAACGATTAATGACAATTATAAATAAACGTTTTTGTTAGTAACATTAATTTATTCGAACAATATTTTATTTTTTTAAATTTTAATAAGCTATTAACTTTGACGGACCGTTGTACTATTTGTGTTTACATTTTGATTTAAAAAATCTCTACAAGAAGCTAACTATTATGATTGGCCTAAATTTTTCGTCCAATTTCATGTACGTAAATAATTTTATTTAATTAGTTAAATACATTTTTATCGGACAATGATTTTAGATATTATCTTGGCTTATCTTTATACTTAAATACTATTACGTTTCCGATAAAATTGAATGGCTGTTTTAAAAGCTAGATTTTCATGTGATTTCAGAAAAATAAACCTATTAACGATTTTAAATTTAATTAAATTTGGTTGTTAAATATAATATGGTGGGCTTAATTCACAATTTAAAAAAACACACTGGCTATTATATTTCGAAAACAAACTTGCAAATTAAAAGCTTTTGCTAAGTATCAAATGTTGATAAAAATTGTTTTAGCTTACGAAAAAGCTTGACAATTTAATTGAAGATTCTTTTTAAGTAGGTAGGTATTTCATACTGAATTCAAAATTTTAAAAGTCAAATATTTTTATAGATGTTTGAAGTTTAAATTTTTACGAAATTAGATATTTCAATGAAGAATAACGATTTTAGTTATTTTGCCGTTACTCAAAAATATTATTCTTAAGAGCTTGACAATTTTTCGTATACTATTATATTCTTTATATACATATAATTACATTTTCAACAAAAATTAATTCAACTTACCATATTATTATAACAAATAGTGAAATTAATTATTTTATCGGTAGTTTATTTTACTCATGGTCAATGTTGAGTTGAACTTTTTCAGCGTTAAGTACAAAGATTATTTTGACGCCCCTCATGTGCCCTTCTAATTTTGGCGCTCTGCGCTGTCGCATGCCCTATTCGCGGCAAATTAACTTAATCGTATATATTGAACTCAAACAGGCTGGTTCCGAATAAATATATTTTTTATATATTTTTAGTTAATATTTTATATAAAGTCATATTTCATATGAAAATTATCTTTAACACGTGTAAGAAATCACAACGTTGGAAATCAACAATTATTAATGTTTTATCATAATACGGGTGTATAATATACATATATTAATATGCTTTGTTGGTCGTCTCAATGTTTTTATATTTTTTATGTCTAAACTTTTGTTGTATTCAATTAGTATTTTAGAAGTATAGAATATTATATTATTATGTTAATAGTATAGGAATATTTTGTTATCAATACTTGATAATAATGTGAGAACTTGCATAAGCATGATAAATAATTATTAATTGCTCGTCGTTTTATCCGCTGACTTATGACTTGCAAGAGTATACACGCCTTACGCCTAGTCGTACATTTTACACAAATAAATACGAAATTTTTTATACTTTATTACTAAAGAATATTAATTAGTTTTTGTTCCGTTTTAGGAAACCGATATGGTGAAAGAGGAAAACGAACTTGAAACGGAATCTAACCACCATCGTCAACGGAATGCTATTGGTGTCCTTGCTCCTGGCCCTAGCTCTGTTCACGTTGTACTTCAACCACAGATGTAATACAGGTAACACAAAAAAATGTTTAACGTTTAATTAATTAAACCTTGCAAATGTTGCGATGACACAACAAGTGTTTAAAATAAACCTACTCGAATTTTTAAGCACACACGAATTGCAGCCCATTGTTTAAAGTAGAATCTTCTGAAACATTTTTCAATATTTAAAAAAAATTAATAATAGATATAAAATGTATAAACGATGCAATTGATTTTACGTTTCTTTTAAATTTATACAACGACTGTCGACTAATTTTATACCTATATTAATTAGAACTTATAAATTAATGATAAAGTTCACATAGTTAGTTTTTATCAAATAAATATAAATATTATTCTTCTTAATAATTTTTTTAACTTGTCAAGATAAAAACTCTATAAATTTCAAACTTATAAACATAATGAGTATTTATTTAATCTGTAGTTCTAAAATGTTTCCCCATTTAGAATCACGATTATGGCTCTCTTGCTCTGCCCTGAATATGGCCCTAGTTATAGTTATTACTTATTTAGCTGTTTCGTAATTTTGTGATACAAACATATTGACAAATTTTAATACGAAGTAATAATATACAAGAAAATAAAAATTTAAAAAATCACCTACATTTAAGCAACGATAGACAACCGGAAGAGTTATATGAAAACGATTGTCATAAAATTTATAATTTTTGATTTCCAGGGTGAATATAATATTATAATTTACCTCATTTTCAAAGCGATTATAAATCACATACTTATATAATAAATAATGATATATTTTGTTGAGTAGGTTTATCCGTGAAATCTCAAGATATTTTCTTGTTTGTTTTTGTGAAGTGCGCGTGCGTTTTATCATAGGTAGTTGTACAGTTATTTTTTTACATGTGTAATCACTTCATAATTTTTTTTTTTTTTCTAATAAATCATCTGATGCTGCAATTTAATTATTATTTTGTAATATTATATAAATATAATCAGTTCATGAATGATTTACAACGTTAAATCAACTATCTAGTTACTCCAGTTTAATTATACTATTTACATCACGTATTCATTGTTTATTGTATAATGATCAATATCGTATTACATAAAAACTAGCTATTAGATATGGGATATGATAATTAAACTTGATTAAACAATTTTAAATTTTAATCAATCCTGTATATCTACAGAGAGCCTCCCATCGTTATCAGTTAAAAACAATGGTTTTATTAGCAAATTTCGAAGTAGACGGCTATTCCAGAATAAAAAATTCGCAGAAAATGTATTTTGTTTATCTTCTGGATGTGTGAAAGCTGGTAAGCATAATTTATTTGATAGGTAAACGACTCGATTAAATACCGATTTACAATAAATTTAATAAAATGTTATTTTATTTTATTTAAATAAATATATAATTTTCTGTGTATGGTTTATATGAAAATATGAATTGTACGGTACTAAAACTGTTTCACATTACAGCGGCTTCCGTAATCAATAATATGGATATATCAGTAGATCCTTGTGATGATTTCTACCAGTTCGCATGTGGTAATTTTATAAAATACACTATTATTGATGACGACAAACCGTCACAGACAACATTTAGCATTGCTGGTGATACACTGTTGAACAAACTGCGTATAATCATCACCGAACCCATTCAGCCGGATGAACAGAGACCTATCAAAATGGCGAAATTATTGTTTAAATCGTGCATGGACAAAGGTATAATGATCGAAGATTTATATTAGTTCATATTATACAGTCGTTTAAGTCATTTAACAAGTATCAATATAAATATATTGTTATATAATAATCATGGACTTTATGTTAACAGATAAAATCGAAAAGGATGGTTTGGGACCTATGAAGAAAATGTTGAAAAGCCTCGGTGGATGGCCGGTGTTGGAAGCCGAAAAATGGAACGATACGGAGTTCACGTGGAAGAACAGCGTTTACAAGATTAAACTGGTGGGCTACAGCGTTGATTACTTTATCCGATTTTCCATCAGTACAGATCTAAAAAATTCCACGCTAAGAGCAATTGAAGTGAGCTAATCTACATAATTAAATAATACTACTCAACATACGAAAAAAATAATATTTTTATTATTATTATGACAGATTAACTGGTAAAAGGTCAAAGAGACTAAGCAATATTTGAGGGTTAAGTTATATGGCATATACTACAAAATAATTGATACCTAGTTAAAGAATTTGATAACACAAGCGTTGTAGTACTCTTACGATCTTTTAGTAATTAGATAGGTACCTACTTATTTTCATTTTTAGTTTTCGGTATAAGTGACATTTGTTTAAAAAAATCTTGTAAAAGTAGAAATGAAGCCCTGTTTTTTAACGATTTATGATATTAATAAAATTCTATTTGCCAAACGACAAACAGAAACTTATTCGTCATCACATTTATAAAATTGATATGAAATACAGTTATTACAAACAAAATATATCAAATTTAATTTTTTTTTTTTATTATTATCTTTCTAATTTATTTATTTATAGTGACTAAACAATTTTACAGGGAAATAAAAACAATAAACATATTATATTACATTATACATTACCTAATCATTAGTGATGTAGTTTTGTACTTGAATTTATTTTACCTACATATTTCACATAGACTATATAACTTAATTAGACAATTCAACTATAGTAAATTAGCTATTATAAAAAATTAAAATATTGAGGCTATCCATATTTTGTGAGCTCAAAATGATAATTCAAATCTATAAATTTTTTGATTTAACTTATACTGTATAGTACCTAATATATTTATAAAATATAATATCATAATATCAATTAGACAAATCATAATCATGTAATGACATATTATAGAAATAAAATATATCAGTTAATACTTAATATTTATTCAAAATAAAAATATTATAACTAATATCTAAATTAGAGTAGGTACTAGGTACACACACACACAAGCGTTCTTTATCGTAAATAATAAAAAAAAATTAGACCTAAACGCCAAAAAATGGAAAGTTTTAATTTAATTCATTATGATAGAAAATTAATGTAACATTTCAATATGACCAGTATCGCCAAAGTTATGAAAATACTATTATTAAAATGTTTTACTTTGATGAAAAGTAGAACTTTCGCTTAACCTCTTTTGCTCTTTACCAGTCGAATTGTATAATGATATATCTGATGAATATAATTTGTGTTGGACCGACATTTCAGCTGGATCAAGCGTCCTTAGGGGTTATGGGCACCGACGAAAAAGTCGTGGATGGGTACTTCAGGTACATGGTGGACGTCGCAGTGCTGTTCGGCGCTGACCGGCGACGTGCCATCAAGGAGTTAAAAGAGTCGTTGAACTTCGAGATAAAATTGGCGAAGATATCACTACCAGCAGAAGAACGCCGGGATGCCACCAAACTGTACAACCCGATGAAAATCGCCGATCTACAAGAAAAGTTCCCGAGCATACCGTGGAAAGAGTACTTGAACCAACTGTTAAACCCGTTAGCTGTACGGCACGATGACATTATAATTGTAAACTCGCCGAAATACTTGTCGGACCTCGAAGTTCTACTCTGCAATACGCCCAAAAGGTAAATATACTGTTAGTACAAATAATTTTTATGGCTTTAGGTCGTTTACTCTTATTTTATACTGTTTTTATTATTGAACAGTGTAGTATTAAGTCATTAGGAAAACTTAATATGATCTTCAAATTTTTAGTGTAAAAACACTCGAATAAAAGTGATAACTGATAATTTGTTATATTAAATACATTGGTTTAAGAGGAAAGACACAATTACTTTAAGTGGTTAATTAACTTTTTGGTTAAAACAATAAATGTACCTGTTTTAAAAGTAACAACGGTTCATAATAAATAAATTTAAAAAAAAATAAAAACAAAAATCAATATTTTTATTAATAAAATTGTAAAATAAATACTTACCTATTAAATATTATTATAGTCAAAAACAAATGCGTAGTTTTTTCAGAATATTATCCTCGTTCAATTTTTATATTAACATCAGTAGGTACCTATAATAGTTGATGATCTATGTCAGTATATTTTTTAAACAATTATTTATGTATAATTTTTGTAATTGCGTATCAAATAATATGTTAATTTTTTTTCTAAATGTTATTAAAACTGTCTGCATAAATTTGAAAAAATTTTCTTAAAAGGTACGATTTTATTTTTTTGTCAGGATACAAGCGAATTATGTGATTTGGAGATTTATTTCGGAGTCTATAAATTATCTGACTGAAGAATTGAGAAAAAGACAGTTGGAGTTCATCACTGAACTAACCGGTAGGACTGAAAGAGAACCCAGATGGAAGGAATGCGTTGGTATTAGTTCTGAAAGATTTTCATTGGCCATTGGGTCGTTGTACATCAGACGATTTTTCGATAAAAACGCTAAAAAGAACGCTTTAGAAATGGTGAACGGTATTAGAGAGGAAATGTACAAAATATTATCAACAAATGATTGGATGGATGATGAAACAAGGTAAAATAGACGTTCGGTTTTTATACTCAACGCTTTTGACGGTAAAAATAATTATTAAAATTTTATTATTTTTGTTTTATTTATTACAGGAAAAACGCAATAGACAAAGTAAACTCGATGACCAGTCATATTGCATACCCAGATGAATTATTGGACAACTGCAAGTTGAATGCATTTTATGAAAATGTAATTAATTATATAAAACTTAACTAGAGCGAATAAGAGATATTATTATACGATACCTATATCTATGATTAAAACCTTTAAAAAAATTGTTTTTGTTATGAATTATGAGTATTTTAATAATAATTATTTATTGTGATTTTTTTCTTAGCTGGAAATCAATGAAAAAGACTTTTATACGTCAATATTAAATTTGACTAAATTTTTCACTGACTACAGCTTTTCGAATTTAAGACAACCTGTTAATAAATCGGATTGGATTACTCACAGTAAAACAGCGATTATAAATGCATTTTATAGTTATGATGAAAACAGTATCCGTAAGTAATATTGCTACTAGGTATACATATAGTTAATATTATTCAGTGTTGTTTTTTAATTAGTGAAAAATAATAGATATTCAACTTTTAATAAAAATCAGGCATACTAAAATATTAAAATGTTTTAAATAATATAAAAATATTTTTCAGTCATTAAACAGTTATTTTTTCAGCCTATCCACAATATTTTGAGTAACTTATCAGCAACAGATATAGATTAAATAAAACAGTTTTTTTTTTTAATTATATAAGAAACACTAAGGAGTGTATTCAATTTTCTCTCACTAAACACAATACTTGACGTACCTAAAATAAAAAATTCATTGTTTATAATATTAAATATGAAAATTTTTTAAAAACACGAAAAGTTGTAGATAAACTACTTGCTATGTTCTACAGTGAAAATCATAAAATCTCCTAGACATAATAACAGATAATCAATTAAAATTTTGTCAAGATAATAGATAAAAAAATAATTAAATTTATTTACATAAAAAACAAATAATATAGAACGATAAATATTTCTATTTAAATAATGTATTACACCGCCCACTTGAATAATTTTAAAAAGAGTTTTTCGCCAAGTTATAATACATACATTTAAATTACCATAATTTTATACAACATAAGTATCTACATAAAAATATAGTAATTATTACGATCGTAACAATATTATACAATAATATAAACGATTTTAATTGTTTTCAGAGTTACCCGCTGGTATTTTACAAGGCGCATTCTTCTCCGCCGATCGTCCCCGGTACATGAATTACGGTGCTATTGGGTTTGTGATTGGTCACGAAATCACCCATGGTTTTGATGACCAAGGCAGAAAGTACGACAAACAGGGCAACTTACTAGACTGGTGGGCGGAGAAGACGAAAAAACGCTTCTTGGAGAAGGTGATGTGCATCATCAGACAGTATGGAAATTACACGTCTCACGAAGTTGGTCTCAAGGTGTGTGTGTGTGTGTGTGTGTGTGTGTATTAAAATACAACGTTTTTACGCGGACAAATTTCGAGGCTGAATTTTTCATTGTTTGAAATTTAATATTTTTCATCGAATTTCGAATAGGTACGATTTGTTAGATTTTCAAAATTCTATAATCACTATTCACGTAGAAAACACTATGGTGTTCCATACGCGATCTGTAGACATTTTTTCAATTTGGATTCGAACACTTTTTTTCAGAACACAAGCTAACTTTAATTTCGTCAAAATTTTATAGGCTTCGGGGTCTCTTGAACTATAAAATCGACGATAATAGCGCCTGCAGGCCGCTTAAACCGTCCCGTTCGTGGACCGACTGCTTTTGCCTATACCTTATATGTACCTATATAAACGACCTAACCTAATGCGATTCGTCTATCACAGTTGAATGGCATAAGCACGCAGGGCGAGAACATCGCGGACAACGGAGGCTTGAAGCAGGCGTACAACGCGTACAAAACGTGGAGCAAACGACACGGCGCCGAACCACGACTGCCCGGGCTCCAGGACTATACGCCGCAGCAGATGTTCTGGGTAAGTGCCGCCAATGTGTGGTGCTCCAAATATCGGCCGGAAGCGCTCAAAAACGACATTACCACTAACTCGCACTCGCCCGACCGTTTCCGGGTCATTGGACCGTTCTCCAACCTAGTAGACTTCAGTAACGACTTCCGGTGCCCACTGGGCTCCAACATGAACCCGGTCAACAAGTGTCAGGTGTGGTGAAACTACCACCCACCGACCGTGATATTTTATCATTATTATTAGTACTAATATTATTATTATTATTATTATAAGTGGCACTTGTGCGAAATTACAATAGTACTAATTTTAATATATTGTGTGTGTGTGTGCATTAACAAAGTTAGTTACGCGTGTGCCTTATACATTATCATTATAGATAATCATTAATTGAGTAGGTTATACTACCTAGGTAATATTACCGATAATTATTAATCATTAGATTTTAATGAAATCATTGATGTTAGTAATAGGTAAGTAATTGTTTATATTATAGGATATAGGTTATTCATAATGAGTTATTAGGTTTTTAAAGTTTAGATTAAACGAATACCGTAATTACGAAAACTGATACTACTACAACTGACGGAGATTATAATGGAAAACACTTAGGTTAGATTATACTTAAAGATATCACGTAAGTACCTGTGTATTTTAGAAAGCTCTTAAGACAGTATTTCACTAATCCAGTAAAATAATATATTTCGTGCTCCACAGTATATCCTCGAGATAATTAAAAAAGATCTTTTAAAAAGGTTCCATAATAAAATATCGCGTACCTAAATAAAATACCAAAGTATAAATAAAAATATGCAATTTAATTGATAGATAAATTGATAGAAAAAGATAAATATTTTTAACAAAACAATTAAAAAATTAAACGATTACCTAATATTTGTGTAGTGAGTCATTGAAAGCGGGAGAGCTTTGGCGTTTATTTTATACCATTTCACAGACATATTTAATCCTCTCAGGCTTCAAATGACAGGAATACTTTTAGATTGGGAAACTGATATATTTGATCATATCTATGTAATAAGATTATTTTTGTGGCAAGTGCCATTTAGCAATAAAATTAATGAAATAAAAATTAAGTATAAAATTAGCCACATAAAGTTGATTTGTAGCTAATGCTAATAAATTGTACAATATTATACAAATTATAAATATTTATAAGTTATAATAATTGCAACTTTTTTATATAATTAAAAATACATTTTTAAGTGAATATGCGTATATATTTAAATAATTTTATTTTAGGGGAGAGGAAATATTAGATTTATATAATTCAATAAATTATAAAAATAAAATCATAATAAACATAATGTATACTGATGTGAAAACAAGTGAGTAGTATTCATATTTCCAATATAATAACTTAAAAATAATAGTTTTATATAATATATATATACATATATATTAAATGTAATATTTATGTAAAAATTACAAAATCAAAATAATGTAAGGCGCGCTCAAATCATTGCATGCTTAAATTCGATATCAATAAATCAAATAAAAAAATCACTCTACAAAGAAATTATAGCTTGTCATACAATAATGAAAAAAATAAAATAAAATAAATACATAATAAAATTACTCAATCCAAATTGACAATAATATTGAATCACAATATAACCATCGCAATGAATATACTATATTTACTATATTCAATATTTTTTAATAATTTCTTTTTTTTACAATTCATTAAAACATTGAAAACCATTTGGATAATAAAATAAGTACAACATAAAATAAAATATACATGAGAATTCAACTAGTTTACAACGATCAAATTTTAGATTGATAATTTGAAACAACAGAAAATATTTTCGATTAATAATACTACACAAAATGTTTGAATTGCGAAAAAAGGAAATTAAAAAAAAGGTTGAATTATCTAACAAATAGCTTAAAGATATAACAAAGTACAATAATTTTACAGTATTCAAAATAAACTAAATGTATCTTACTCACTATTTTTTTTTCTAACAATATCATACAATTAATATCATTATGCATATAATATATATTCACATCTATTGTGACTACCCACAAAGACAAAACACAACCAATACGAAACAGTAGTATAAGAATTAAGAGACAATCAAAACTTTAGTAAGTGCTTAAAGCTATTGATTATTTATGGATACATAAAACTAGTAAAATAGGTATAATTTAAAGAAAAATAATAATTATAATATGTTTGACAATAATAAGCACTTATTGCATGTAGGGTACAAATAAAAAAAATTCAAAAATAGAGAACTATGATGTTTGTGCTTGATAATAAGGATAAAACAAAAAATAGAAGAAGCTTTAATGCAATAATGATACAAGAATTGCGTTACATTGAAATTAATAATAAAACACTTAAGTACTGATATAAGTCCGCTAATGACGATCAATAAATAGAATATCATTAAAGTACATTTGTGCGCAACTAGGTGGTTACATAGAGAAAAAAAATTAGTTTAATACTTATTTAGTTAACTATAAATTTTCAAACAACAATGAATTGTTGTCTAATTAATTGGTTAGATTAACAAGTGACAACATCTTAGTAAAGGTATTATCAAATTATAATAATATTATACTTATATAATAGTTATTTAAGTGGAATTACATATAGACAATATTAGATTTCTATTTTCACTTAATACTTAAGTACTAAGCCCTTACATTTCTAAATTACATTAATTCGATATTCTTTAATGTGCTTTAGGAAAATGTTGTTTTCATAAAAATATTAAAAACAGCAAATAATCCATTGCAATCATTATGAATATTTGGACGAAATTCTGATACATTTTATTTCAAATTTATACTCTGACGATTTTAACGACAGAATAATAAATTATCTTATACTAATAAATAGATAAATCAACAAAACGATAACTAAAAAAAATCTACCAATACGCAAATATTTTTAAAACTAAAAATGTTTTCACTTACTATTTAGGTAAAGGAAATTCAAACAGCAATTATGGCTCAAAGTTTACATTAAATAAAATTCAATAATTATATCATAACCATATACATTATATGAATGTATAAAAAAAACTATAATTTAATGAGAGTACATTATACACTAGTATATAATGAACATAAAAATATAAATTTAAATATAACTAGACACCATAATTGCCTATTATGTATGTGTGCGTATAAACACATACACATACATAAACAAAAATATATATATATATAGTTACAACTAATGTATACAATATTTAACTCTAAACAGGAAGTGGTGGTGGGCCTAACAGAGGGTTTGGTGTTGGTGAAAGCAGTTCCTGGCGGTCACGATCACGTTCACGGCCTGGGCGGAATGCTTCCAACAAAGCTTCGACTCTGTCTTCGCTAGGGCTCCATCGCTGACACCCAGCATTATTTTGAAGCCATACCACTAATGTGCTTGTGGGAGAACGAATGTTTACATCTGTCCTAAAAAATCAACAAAAGTTATGAAATAAATAATATTTTAAAGATCTCGTGTAATGCATAATATTGAATATATACTTTGGTACACTGTACTGGAAACCATGTCTATAATAATGTTCATATGCTGGTATAACCACTTGACGTCTTTTGAACTGACTAGAGTCTAATTTTTGGACGAATGTTGTTTCACCATCAGCCAAAAATATGATGAAAGATAGAGGTTCGCTTGATTCAGATAACAATCGATCAATATGATTTAAAGCAGCTTCGATTAGATCATCACAGTGTATAGGAGGATTTACCACAAATGACCCACTTACTGCGTTTAAATCCAAAATAGATCTGAATATTAAAAAAAAGTAAATAATTAATAATTATTTATTTTTTTATCACCCACTAGAATAAAACATTTTTTGGCTAAATATCTTCAAATCATAAAAAAATAATAATTTGTAAAGGTTAAAAATTAAAAAAAATATTAAGTAAATATAATGTAGAATCATAATAATATACTTCTACAATGACTATAAATATCAGATTTATTTATTTTCAAAAAAATAACTACTACTAAAAGAAGCAAACTAACCCTCGGGATCCAAAATAGGCGTCGGTGTCTGGAAACGCTGAGCAATACTGACGGAAATAGCAATTCAGAGGTGATGCAAAACACTCAAATGTTACACCAAAATTTCTGTGCAGAGATTCTAAGATAGGCACTGGCACTGAAACTTGTGTATCAGGACTGTTAGAGCAGAAGACATTGTACCTTTTCAACAAACACCAAACTCTGGCCATGAAATTTTCCATTTTTTTGTCTTCATAGCAGCTGTAGCGATACAATTGTTCCTGTAAGTTATTTAACATATTTTAATTTTATATTATTATAGAAGTTTTATTGTGGATAATCAGTCACAAAATTACTAACCAACTTTTGGAGATACACAGTATTGATAAGTAATCTTTCTCCATTGAACCGAACATAAGTCTGTTCTTTGTCAGCCATATATTCAACAGGAGGAAGACGCGGAGAAGGTGTGACAAACTGTACAGGATAACACCACACCTTATGAAGTGTTAATACTGCAGGAGCTGGCACTATTTCTAAACACACATTATAATAAAAATAATATGATTAAAAATATTGTGATTTCCTGCCAATAAATTTTAAATTAAATAAATAATGAACTTAATTAACTACTTTATGTGTAGTTAAATTATACATAATGTGGAAACAAAAAAAAAAAGCGAATATTATACATAATGTTCACTGATTAATTTTTAACATAAAAAAAAAAGGGATTAACTAACCTGTAATTCCTTGAGCAATCAAAAGCTCACTATTTTTTTCTTTGACTTTACGAGCATATTCAACAGATAAATGATATACCTTCGAGCAAATGCCTTCCACAGAATCTTTGACAGTTTGGGCTATATGTGGTTGACATTGCATCTGTAAAATAAATTAAACATCATAATTTCTTTTTTAAGCATTTTTTGTGTGATTATTACCTTAAGATGGTTTAATCGTTCTTGAAAATCAACATATGTAGCACCCACTGTTTTTCTTAACCACTGCAATGTATCTTCAGTGTTCCATTTTACAACTTTTCTACTCTCTTGTAGTGTGTTTCTGTACAACCCACAAATGAATGAATTTATAACAATTAAATAATAGACAACTTTAAGCATTAAATTTATTTTAGTTTAAATAAACACATTACTTGCTTTATAATTATTATTGATTAAAATTAAACATATTAAAAAAAGTAAAAGAGTATTTTAAAAATATGTTTTTATGATAAAAATCAGTGAGAAAATAACCCCTCAATTATACCCGATTTCTAATGCTATTAAATTTGTCGAGAGCATTATAAATAATAATTGATGTAACAAACTTACCTTAAGAAAATCTTAGTTTAGCTACTAGCTACTCTATTTTTATGAAAAATTATTAATATTTAAAAAATAAAGAATGTGGTTACAAAAATAATTTTCTTTTTTTAATAACCTAATTATTATTCTGCTAGCTAGACTGGACACTTGAGAATTTCAAACTATGAAATTTTATCATAATTTTCAGACATTTAACAAAGTAATTAATAAATATTCCTAATTTATTTAGAATTTTTATTCGGGTGGTCGAATCTAAAAGTTTGGGAACTGATGGTTATTTGAATAAGAAAAATATATTAAAATTCATTAAAAATTTGTATAATATATCAAGGTAAATTTTTTAAATACAACTTATTACTAATATTATATTTCAGTGCTATAATTGTAGCACGAGCTAAATGAAAATATAGATAGTGGCAGAGATGTTAGAGAAAACATTTTTAACTGAGTGGAAGAGTTTCAGTGGTTATTCATGAAAAAGCGACTAAAAATGATAGAATTTAATTGATTATGTCTGAATTGAATTTTTTATTGTTGCACATAATAACTATATTATACATGGATACAAGACAAATGTTAAGTTAATAAAAAAAATTAACTTTATTTCTATATTTTAAAAAAAATATTCTTCCTAAGTGAATAGTTGAATAATTATTTAAGTATTCAGTATCAATATTTCCGGTTTACTTAAATCAATTACCATTTTAAAGCGTTAAACATTTTTTCTTCTTTTTTTTTAATACAGAATAACATGGAAATTATTTTAGTGACTATTAAATTAAATAATATACCTAGACTCAATGAGATTTTTTGCTGCTTCAGCATATATGGACAGTTGTTTCCGAGCATCTGCAGTATACTTAGGTTTTGCCAATCTCAATGGTATATCATTCATTATTTCGTTATACATTCTTAAAGACACTTCTGGATAACATTGTGAAGGTAATAACGGATCAGTACCAGTATCAACTACTTTTCTCTCAATAAGCCAACGGTTGAAAGATTCTTTTGGTGCATTGATATCTAGTTAAGAAAAAAATAAAAATATTTATGAACAGAACGTTATTTTAATTCACAAAATTAAATTGCAGTACTTACTTTCTCGGGACTGACACAATTCCTGATAACACTGTCTTAATTTTGCTACCAAATGTCCACGATAAAACTCAATATCTGGATGTGGCTGAGACATCATAGATGGTGATCGCTCAAATATAACAACATTTGTAGGTATTTCAAGTTCCCAAGGACCACTATAATAATAAATTAATTTAACTGGTAGGTAATTTATTAAATTTAAAAAATAAAATTTTGATTTACTATTTATATGTTGCGATGAATATAATTATTTGTATAAAAAAATATATTTATTATTTAAGTATATAGGAATATAATGTTATTATCAGTTTTTTACTTACAGATATGAGAATTATGATGAATGTTTAGTAAATAAAATGAAGAACAGTATAAAATGGGAAATTTTCAGATATATGTTGATAAATTATAATTAAATGAATGTTACTGAATGAGTCTAGGCTCTACTATTAGGTGTTTGAACATATTTGTTCAAAATTACCATAGTTGTGTCAAATAATTTATGAACATACATTTTAATATGAATAAGAAATCATGAAGTATATGTTGAGTGAACAATAAAAATTATTTTCATAATTAATGAACTTAAGATTTTAAAATAATGTTGAAAGACAAGGTTTAACGGAGGACTTAATGTAAATACTCACATAATTATTTATTTTTTTTTTTTTTATTATCTATTAATGTATTTTTTATAACATTTTAATGAACATAATCATAAAAAGTGTAACTTAAAATAAGTCAGGTTCAGGTAAACCACTAATTAAGATAGTTATTCAACAAATAATTGTAAGTTGATGATTAAATTACATTTTTAATTTTCTAAGTTAAATCCCAAATTTTATAATTGTTTATCTGAATTGAGTCCCAACTTTAATAATAATGTATATTAATTGAGTCCCATAAACTTTTATAGCTATACATGTTACTGGAAAAGATTATTATTTAGCAATTTTTTTCATCATTCCCTAGTGCCTAGTCATTATTGAATATTTCATGATTGTATCTATATTATTGTATTATTTAAGGCAATGTTGTATACTGATATGGCTGATCAAACATACTATGGATAATCTCAACTTGGTTTTATGTTATCGACTTCTTGAAATTTATTTTTATTGCTCATAATAATTGATTATTGTATATTAAACTCTGTGTATCGTATCATAACAGTCTATGAAAACAATGATAAAGATAGTGGTGTTTATGCAATATTAAGAAATGTTTATTTAAAATTTTCAAAAACAAATTTAAATAAAATGCAACTAAGATTTGACAATACAATTTTATTATTAATTGAAAAATGACGTAATGACAATAACTTTTTTTTTTCATAACGAATATTGTTAATGAATTGAAGAAATAAAGCAGTCTAAAATAACGATATCCACAGCAAGAAAAAAGAAGTGTACAAAAGATTATAGGAATACAAGTATGACATTATTTTTATCAATCAGCTGACTTTAACAGCATTTCTGGATCATAAGATTTTACGAGATGCAACTGTAAAACTAATAGATGTGCATAACGTGCCTCTAAAAAATTATGTAACTCCAAGTGCCATAATAGTTTACCTTGCTGTATTAAATATTAATATTATTTCAATATTTAGCACCATTGCCTTCTTTTTTTAGAAACTAATGTTAATTACTAGTCATTGTCGACATTAACTGATAATCAACTTTTCTGGGAACATATTATATACGATTAACCAAGTTCTGACATTTATAATGGTATATACTAGTTGAGTCCTGCTAACTCTCATAACAAAATATGTTAGTTGAGTGCCACTAAATTTTATAATTTAACAGTGTGATTACGATCTAAGGTACCACTAAATATCTTAGGTGAATAACCTTGTATTAAAGTGAAGATTTTAGAGGGCCTAGTGAGTTTTTTAATGCACATTTATTTATGATTTTCAAATTTTTTACATTATTGGTGTGCATATGCCCAATATAACTTACATTTTTTTAAACAAAACACTATTTTTTTGTATATTCAGATAAATTATTTTTTTTAAATGTTGTTTGTATCAAAAGTTTTTTTCTATTTACAAAACTGACCAAGTTAGAGAAGTCAAGTTTACACATAATTCGTACTTAACTCTTTCACTTAAAACTACTGGAAATAATAAAATAAATGCTAAATAAATGTTTAATTTACTTTATTTATTGACAAATAATAATTTAATATTGTACGTTGTCCAGATGAATATCTCGAGTATGTGATAATTTTTATTTAGTTGACTGCTATAATATAATTACGATTTTTATAGTGAAATTTTAATTTATTTTTCAATAGTTTTAATAACGATAAAATAATCAGATAATGTAATTTATTTATTATTAAGAAATAATGAAATAAATTTGAAGCAATTAAACATTATTTTTCGTTTACAATATTGTTATTTTTTTATATCGTTAACTGTAATAATTAAATTTACTTATAAAAAATATAGTTATAACCTACTAATAATAGTAATATTAATATTATAATACAAAATAAAATGTATTAAATAAATTTATCTTATAAATTGTTCAAAATTTTCACCATAATGTTCTAAACATGATTCAAGTAGCCTCAAAAATTTAGTAGTGTTGCTGCCTTGATCAACATAGTCCACTAAATAAAAATTATCACATATATGAGATATTCATCCAGATAATGTATAACATTATTAAATCATTACTTTTAAACAGATAAGGTAAATTGAACATTTATTTTATTATTTCCAGTGGTTTTAAGTGAAAATTTTGCTAAACACAAATTATGCATAAACTCAAATGTTAACTTCTCTAACTTGGTAAGTTTTGTAAATAGAAAAAACTTTTTACACAATAAACAAAAAAAAAAAAAAATTAGAAAATTTGAATATCATAAATAAATATTCATTAAAGTACCCCATAGGCCCTCTAAAATATTCACTTCAATACAAGGGAATCCAGCTGAGATATTTAGTGTACCTTAAATTGTGATTACACTGTATAATGTATATATTAATCAAGTCCTGACTTTTATAATTATGTATAACTAATTGAGTCTTGATATTTATTATGGTATATTATACTAGTTAAGTCCCATCAAATTTTCTAATGATATATATTAATTGTATACCGATTTTTATGACAAAATATGCTAGTTGATTCCCACCAATTTTTATGATATATACTAATTGAGTCCTGAAATTTATAATGATATAATATACTAGTCGAGTCCTATGGATATTCATGACAAAATATACAAGTTGAGTCTCACCAAATTTTATAATAATATAAACTATTTGAGTTCTGGCTTATCAGACAATAAGTATCACATAATTGCATAAAATTAATAGGGGTATATATTTTTTTAACATTAATTTTATGTAATTGTCAAGGCCATTTGTAATATTAAATTTTAATAAAAAAAAACAAAAAAAACAATATATTAATTTCTATTGTTTGTAATAAAACACTAGAATTACAATATGATAATGTAGTGTGATGTACACAAGTATATAGAGATTGATTCTACAAATTTAATGTGTTAAGCAAATTATAAAACGTTAATATTAAAAAATATGTTATGAGTTTTTTTCATCAAGTTACTTAAAAACAAAATTGAGATAAAAGATGAGGTGTATGAAAAACAGTTGTTAAGGTATCTTTAAAATGGATAAGATTTTTTGATACTAAATATATTAAATAATAAATTAAATACTAACTAGATTTCGTATCACTCGTGGTAAAAAAATTAATGTTATTATTGAAAATTTAATTTCATCATATTTTGTAAGGCTGTAGTTATATAATAGTAAATGTCTCAACATTACTACTTGTAAAAAAAGTTGATGATATTATTAATAAAGTTTTAGATTTAAAAAATATTAACATTATGACTCATATATTTGGTCAATAAAATTAATAAACGATAAATAATATTCTGTTTTATTTATCATAACATATACGGAGTGTTCAATTTAAGTTAACAGGAAATATTTCTAACACATGATCTTGAGTTTGATTTGGCCATTTTTTTTTTACTGCATACAGGACATATACATACATTTGGTTTTGATAAATTTTAATTTTTTACTATTATGATTGATTCATGTGCAATAAAATAAACATTTCTTAAATAGGAACCACTATTTTTAAGACTGGATGTGGATTTGTTTATTTTTACTGAGCAAACTTGATCTTTACAAATTTTTGATACCTTCAAAATTTACATTTTTTGGACAGTCAAAAGTTTTAAATTAGGTAATTCGTAATTATGCATTTTTTAATGCTTTATCTTGATCAGACATTTATATATATATAATTTATTTTTATTAAAACTAAAATAGTATTTATTATTACATAAAAATTATAAAAAAAAAATCAATAAAATTTATTTATTATTTAACGAAATGTTCAAAGTTATTGTCATTATTTTCAAAGCATGCTTCCATTTGTTTTAGTAGTTCTTTTTGTGTAGCTGTTATTATTAACTACTATTTTTGGACGTCCTGATAAAAAATAGTCTAACAGTGTTATGTGAGGTGATCTAGGGAGCTATTGTACTTAATCATATGTCCTCATCCATTTATGGTTAAAAGTTTGGTTAAGGTATTATCAAACAACTATTGCATTATAGGTGAGAGCCTCATACTATTGGAAAAATAAACTTATGTAGGTATCTAAGTTGAATTCATCCAAAAATTTAAATAGTGTTTGACAAAAGTCTTGGTACCTCCTATTAGTCAAAGTACACATAGTATAGAAATATATACATGTGGAAAATATAAGCATGGTACTAAATTTATTAATATATATTTATGATACTCATGAAAGACTGGTATACGATTCTACTAATTTTTAAAACCAAAAACTTACGTTAGTATCATTTTTTTTGTTGCAGGGCCTAAGACTATTTCTTCTGCAGGTCTTTTTTTCAATAACATTGGATTTGCTCCATTATGTTGACCATCACTGGTTATCCCCAGAGGATCTGATGTAACGTCAAACTAAAATTTTTGGTTATATATTATAACACAATGCTAAGACTAATGATTGAATTCATACACACCTGTCTCAAAGGTGGAAACTCCCAAAGAGATTCACCAGTCAACTTATTCCAAAAATAAGGTCGATTTTCACGTTTACTCCAAAATTTTTTCCATCCTTGTTGTAACAGCTCTAGTGGTAATTCAGGTTCAATATATGTATTTATTGGCAAGCCCTAAAAAATTGTTATGTTATATTTAAATATATAAAACTTGTTAGTACGTTAAATAAGTTACTGACATGTGGTGTCTGTGGGCTTGTGTGTATGACGCTTGGATGTGGACTAGAATTATTTATTTGGATGTTATTTTGGTCCAAAATACCAAGTGAAGGTTGAATTTTTATTGGAACTGGTATCATAATATCATGTGACGGTATTGAGTTCCATCCTTGTACATTGTTTAGGATTTCTTGTTGGTCATTCATTTCATTTATTTTGTAATCTATAATACACAATATAACACAATATATTAGGTAGTTAAAATTATTTGTCCTCAAATATATTATTTATAAATAATTAAATGATTCATTTTAATTTTGGACAAAATTAAATTTCTAAGATTATAATAATAATAATAATAGCTTTAAGAATTTTGATGTTAAATTAAAAATGTAAATTTACAACAAAATGAAACATAAAATTTCAAAATTGAATTTGTTTTTAAAAATTAGAAAAAATTACTAGATTACATTGATCTGAATCATTTATTAAACTAAAAACATTTCTTTAGATTAGGCTAAGTTGTAAAAAAAATTATCAGATTTCTTATAATTTAAAAAGATATCAGTAGCCAGATCAGTGCCCATATGAGTATAAGTTTTACAATGTCGTTTGTTCACATTAGCTGTAATGCTAAATATTGGTAAATTTAAAAAGAAAACTATTGTGTTGAAACATTGTATCATACAAAATTAAAAAAAAAAACCTTTGACTATACAATTTTAAAAATGTTTATGTTTTAGGTAGATAACATTACATTTACAATCTAATAACTTAAATACTTAAGTCTCGACTTAAGTTTTAAAATTAAATATTTTTAATAAATATGTCAACTATATCTGTCTAATTATAATAACTATAATATTTATAATAAAACATTTCTAGTTTCATATTGTACTGATATAATACTGTCAATCTAGTGGTAACTATCATACTGTTAAAAACATTTAACAAACAAAAATACACATTTAATATTAATAGAATTATATTATATTTTGATTTCATAATATCATAATATAGGTATCTAAGATACCTAAATTTGACAATACTTAATATAGAATATAAAACCTATTGACATACCATTTTTCATAGAAGGTAAACAGTTTTGGAGCTCCATGATTTGTTTAGTTATTTCATAGGTTCATATAAAACATTATTAAGGTGTTCAATGTTATTTTGGCACAAATAATCTGAAAAACATATGTATAAGTAGTTGAAAAAATTTAACCAACCTACCTAATTAGGTTTTACTTAAGGATAATATCTAAGATTAAGATTTATAACTATATAATTTAAAATAAATTGAAAAGAGCTTAGGTAAAGTAATATATTCTTTTCAAAGTATATTTATATAGTATTATTAAAATATAATTACCGTAAAATTTAACTATTAAGAAAAACTAGATTAACGCTGTCAAGCTATTGACTAACTCGTTACCATTGGAAATACTTTAGAGCACAAACTTCAGGGTAAAAAACCAATAGACCGGTAACAAAGTGAACGCTGTAGAGTAGCTCGAGTCCAGGGGCAAACGATAATGTGAAGAGGAGCCGAGATCGAATGAGAAAACGACACAAGGGATGACGGTGCAAGAATGTTTAGCGTTCCGAAGTCAAGGGCCAAGGTTTAAAGAGACAAAGAACGGAAAAAAAAATAAAGGACAGTACGTCTCGCAATAATGGATAGCATACGACGGCTGTAGTGCTCGTGCATCCAAACACTAAGGATGGTTGAAAGGAACAAAGATGATTGCCAACGCGCTCAAAACGACGGTCAGACCGAAACGCATGAGCGATGCGTACGCGCTGCGGCAGCGAACGGGACGCGCGCGGCGGCGGATTTTTGTTGACTATGTCTACACTTACCTTTGGTTGAGATCCATGGGAAAGAGCCTCACAACGTCAGAGTCGTGGTCCCGCCATAACTGATCTGACAACGACGACGTAAATAAAATAACGCACGGGACGTTCACAGAGACGACCAGCCGAACGACAACGAAAAGTAAACTAAATTTGATAATGATAAAAAGTCCTTTCCATTGCGTTGCGTCGTCACCACCAGCCCGCCGCCACCGTCGCCGCGACCACCACCACGGTCACCCCGCACCACTTCACCGCCACACCACCCACAGGTAGTGCGAGTGCGCGCCACCGAGACAATAGCGGTCTATGGTTGTAGTTGTAACAGCCGCCGCCTCCGTTCCCGCAGCGCGGACACGGCCTCCATGCGCGCGCGCTCTCTGGTGATTGGTGCGACCCGCTGGACCGTTTGGTGGATATGGCGGTGGTGATGGAGGTAGCGGCGGCGGCGGCGGCGGCGGCGATGAGCGTTCTTTCGAAACTGCGCAATTAAATTTTAAAAACCGATTATTCCGGAAAATGCGTTTTCGAAAATTATTATTGTTAAATACGCACGAAAGATGAGCGCAGTTTAAGAAGAAGGGCTAAGAGGTGACTCGGATGTCGACGAAAGACAGAACACTAGCAGACAGAGGTGACAATGATAATCGCGCAGCAATTAATGGAATTCCCATTGGTTGCACTCTAGACTACACGCGTTGGTAACGTTTTTCGCACGAAATAATACGATTACTGCAAACTCGCTGCTCATCTAGGTACCTGTATAATATTATAATATTATTAATTATTATGTACGGGTAAAATACACACACACACATATTATTAATTTAATATTATAATGCCGCAACGTCTTATGATTTTGTTAATTAATAACTATGGGTCGAAAGGATCCACGATCCACGTGAAATTATAAAGTGCTATCAATATAGGTACATAGTTAGGTATGCTATATAGTATATAGGTACCTGATTTACCGTCGCATCATCATATCCGACCGAGTAGGTAGGTACCTATGTACATATTATATGGTACCTATAAATACGATTTACATTTCCTAAGCGTCCATGTTCCGTGATTACTGCACTCGTTTGTAGTATTGTGGCGAACTTTCCATTTTTCTGCAGGTCTATCTTTAATATTGGTCTTGTAAATTATGATATTCTTCCAGCTCACCCAACCACCTAAAACGTAATAATACCTATCGTAGTAAGTAATAAGTAATTAAATACTTGTGCCTAGTTAATACTAAATTATTATCTGTTGGCAAATACCTACTCATTCACCAGATCCTCTAAAAAGCAATTCTGAGCTGACCACCTCTCGATTATCCCTTTACCTAACTTCACCTTTGTCACTTCGTTTGAAATATGCATATCATAGTATTAGCTACTTAAGTATCCATCTTGAAGTGGTGTCGAGTTAGGGTAAGAAATGTATATAATATGGGCAGTACAGCACATTATTTGATTTATGCATTATTATAGCTTATACTATATATAAACGAAATTGAAATGGTAATCATATTTAATGATTCAATGATACTATTCAGAAATTAGAATCATTTGGCAAGTTAATTTATACACTTCTATAGTTATATTTTGATTAAAAATTAGTAATTTATAAAAATATAAATTTATAAAATTTATTGTTATCAGTATGTAGGTATGTATGTTTAGAATTTATCCTCGTGTCATATAAGTACTATATTTTGTACTTTAACATATTTTATTATAGCTATTTAATAACTTTTTTTTTGTTTTTCTGAAATTAAATTATTTAAGCATTGATAAAATTTCACAAATGAAACTTCAAACTTATAAGTTATAACTATAAATTATAATACTAATTATAATAAGAGTATTCACTCAAATGATTTAAAATCAATGCTTAATAGACTACAATTATTTTACTCATAGTTGAAATTAATATTTATAAGTGTTAATAAATAGGTATTTAAGTACAATATTTTTTTGTTGTATTTTTTAAACATTTATATTGTTTACAATAGGTTACATAGGGCTAGTAATTGGTCAATAGTCTCGAAAAAAAAATTCATTCAGTGAGGGAAAAGTATAATAATTTAAAATCTAGACTTTTATTATTATACGTAATAAATAATATTATGTATAATAATTACGTATTATAAAATAGAGTATAGAAATATGTATGAAAATAATAAATAATAATAATTAATAATTATTTTTATATCCTATTTTACAAATTTTATTTTTCCGTTATCATGATGACAGTCAAAGTGACAAAACGATGAGTACGTTGACAAATTACATTTGAATTCCTATGAATGTAGTGAATGCTATAGACAGTATACGTTTTGAAATTTAGTTTGTCAAAACAACTTTCTAGAATCCGAGTAATCAGAAGAATACTTTTTTTTGTTCAACTTACAAAGAATATGCACATTTTTTGTTTCTAAATTATATAGAATTTGTTTAACTAATATTATTATGTTTGAAATCAATTTTTGATCTAACAATTATTATTGTATACATAATAAATTTAAATACATTAATTTGTAATACCAATAAATATAGTTGTACAGATATTTATTGTCTAATTTCTTATTCCCTACTTTATTTATTAAGTATTTGTATGAATTGAGAATATTAATATATTTCTGAACTATTTGTATACGAAGAAACTTAAACGTTGTCAAACAACAAAGTTTAAAACATGTTTATTAAGATAACCACACCATAACTCATTAATTATATTTATTACATATTATATGAATGTACAACTATATACATTCATATTTTTATGTATAATTTATTTATACTATTGATACATTATGGGTGATTTATTCCCTCCCCCAGAAACATATAGCACTTTTTTAATAAACAAATTTAAATTACAATTTTTTTTTTTCATTACTAACTCAATAAATATTAATTAATACAAACAGCCAAAATATACTATATAGGTATTATGATATTTAAATATATATTAATCAATAAAAAATTTAATTTTATGATAATACATTTTTTGATTGGATGACCTTTCACGCAAAAAATTATAGTTACACCACTGCAGGCCATACACGTATAGATACTAGAGAGTAATTCACCAAAGATGCTCATCATAATTTTTCTTTAATAGTGGGTTTATAAAAATTCTGGTTTATTAATATTTAAATATACTTAACGTCCGAATTTGCTAGTTCTTAGATTTTTATATAATTTAATGTTAATGTTCAGAGGCGATAACATTTTATTTTCAAATCGTTTTATAATCGTTTTTCTTACTAATTGTTGAATTGATAAATGTCTTAAGATTTTTGATGTATTCAAATCGAAATTTGAATAAATAGTTTAAAAGTTATTAAAGATGTATCAATTATTAATTAGGCACAATATTAAAGGTATAATGTATAAAAATTATAGGTCTATGAAAGTATAGGGCTTAAAGATATTTAACCTATGATAATTTGTAAATTATTATATTAAATTAATATTTTAAAATTTGTAAAAAATGACTGATTGAGTTTAATGAATAGATACTAGATTAAACATAACATTTAATATTTATTTATTATTTTTATGTAATAATTTCTAAGGATTAGTACAAAGGATAAAATTTGTTTTATCACAAGAAATTTTTAAATAACACGATAAATCTATAAATAATTGATAATATGATGCTTAAGTAAGTAGAGTTACAAACTACGAAACTAAGAATAATAAAATATTATATGTAAGTAGATATATATTACATTGCATGCATCGAAATTTTCTGATAATTTTATTTAAAACATATACTTGATATGTTTATATCATGTCTGATGTTTCTTTTAATAACTTATAATAATATATGATAATTCGTTTGGAATGATTTTAGGTCATATACAATATTAAATATTCTTTACCCTAGTATTGAGATTAAAGCGCTAGAATGAATTGTATTGGCTGATACAATATTATACCAGTTGGATTATAAATTTCAGTTTAAAATGTGATGCCCATTGTAATTAGTTCTAAAATATATAATATTTTTATATTTCAAAAATAAAAGTGATGGAGTATATAGTTGATATTATTAGTGTTAGTATATCGTATTTTACAAATTTAAAAAAATTCCAAATTGGACTACTTTAAGATTGTGGATTTTAAATTTTAAGTTTAATTTTAAGGTACCCATTATAAATATACTTACTATACTTTTAAATTTAAAATAACTCAATATTTTAATTTTAACTTTTTTTTTTTAACTCATATAAAATACACTTAAATTTTTTAAAATTTATTTGCACTTATTAGTTGTTAAAAAGGTACTTATTTTTTGGACTTATGGTATATTTATTTTTACATTTTTGAGTTGTTTTGGGGTCATAGTTTGCGCTTATGGACTATAGCCTCTTTAGCATTGAAATGTATAATGGCAACTATCGAATTAGTTTCAACCTTACTTCTACATCCACGAGTGTAAGCAAACGAAAGTATAGAACGTATAATTAATATATATTACAAATAGTCTTTGTGCTAGCAAACATCAATAAACCATAATATACTTCTATTTATACGCGACTGTCTGACTGTGTACAAAGCTACGCATTTATATATATATATGTATAAATGTTTCACATAATAATATAAGAGGAACACAAGTTTCCAGGAATTGTAAGTAAATACAATACACCTACTCATCTATGTATATTATCGTGTATAAATTTTGTACTCTGAAAACGTCTGCTTTAGCTCTATCAAATTATAAACGAAATTGAAAATAAACGCTTTTATGTACAGTATTAGTCTAACGACTGTGTAAAATAAAGTATGGTATATACAATGAGATCAAAAATTATACCAAGTATTGTAATTATTAGGGATGTACATTTTTAGGAAAGTGTATTCTTTTTAGTTAATATTGTAAAACCACTGCAACACGATTGTGCACCATGAAATATAGGTGTTGGTCTTTTTTACCAATTTTCTTTTTAAATTGTACAAGGTTAGGATAGCAAAAGTGCTTGATGAAGCTTGATAAGGACGATGATAGTCAGAGCCATGCAGTGGGGGGCCTAGGGGGCATGCGCCTCGGGCGCATGGTTTAAAGCAGGGGTCGGCAATCCACGGCCCGTACAAAGGTGGTTAATTTTTGTTCAATGACATTTTTCATATAATTTTCAATATTATATAATTATTTTTCCTTTATAAATAAAATCTAATCTAACTAATATATGTTTGTAAA